TAATGCATTTCTTCATTTTCTATATATCTTTTATGGATAAAACTGTATATAAAAGTTGTTGGATTCAAGTGGATTCAACTGATATTATTAAAGTACTGCACTAAAGCTTCAAGTTTGCTTAGAGTGACACTCTACATTTCAAAGTAGGATAAGTAACGTGAGCTTTCCAAAAAAGTACTTTAAAACAATATAAAAAAATTCTTTATGAATTGTGTAACAGATCTACAAATGATGTGACGGTTCCCCCTGTTGATTGTCATACAACAGATCACACATGCATAATTTCCGACATGTGATTCTGTATAATATATTCTGTCATAATAGTGTCATAACAATATCTACGAAATAACAATAGTCGAATTTTCGATTTATTAATGGATCTATTTTTCTACATGAACTATTATACCAACCATAAACAAACGAAGCGTAGTGAGTCAATTGCATTAGTAAATGTAATCATGACAATGAAGTTAAAAATATTTGATATCGATATGTGGCATGAGTTAATTGAGGTTAGGTACTAATTTCAGCCAGGGTGCCCCAGTCGAAAAATGAAAAATGGCACTTTGAGATTGTGCCCTGTCTCACAAATAAGTTATGCATAACGATAAACCTTGTAAGATGATAAATTTATATGCAAATGTGGGCAGGTTTATTTATTCAATGATCAGTTCACTTTGTGCAGTAATAAGTAATTAATACATTGGTTAAAAATTACCAGCCCGATATGGGCAAAACTTTTATAAAGTGTTTTATTATTAATTAAAGTGGAATCTGATAATTAATATCATACATGATTTTTATAAATTCAGACGTGACATCCATGTCACTGGTGCAGTAATGTGGCGTAGTAGTGATCAAACTTTACCTTCTTTTTTTAAAACTTCAATGATTATATAATCAATATTTTTTTGATTTAGATTTGAAATGTTTGATGCCGAAAATGATCTAATACCACTTATTTTCTCTTTATCAATACTAACAAATAAATTATATATTTTTCCTGATCTTTTTTTTCTTTTTTTCAATGTGTCATTGGTAATATTATCGGGAAGTTGTTTTCGGATTTCATCAAGGCTAAACATGCACGTTCTCCATGATTCATATTTTTGTAATGATCAAATCGTTTTTTTAAAACTTTACCAAAGTTAAAGTAATATTCAATTACATCTCTATTTGCTATTTCATTTTTAGATTCAGCTTGCGAAATTTTGTTATAATGATATAAAAAATTATTTGTATTTTCGTTGACTTCTATTACTTTTTCAGAATTTTCAGGTACCGTTTATGTCAATTCCTCAATAAGTTTTTTAAATATAGAAGAATCTTCTTTTGAAACTTGCTTCTTTGCTTTCTTACTGGATGATTTGTCAATAGATTCACCAACATGCTTTTTTGGTATTTCACTTCCTAATAATGGTGATACATTCATTGGTGAATTTAACCCAAGATTATTGCCTAACATATCTGCAATAGCCGAAGTTCCACTAGACTGAAATGATTCAGAAAACCTTCGTTTAGATATTACTGAATCAACAATTTTGTCACAATCAGGAATAGGGCATTTGTTCTCTTCCGTAAGTAAAAAATTTTTTTCAATACATTTCCTATGATATGCATGACCGCATGGAAATATTGTAAGTGTTTCAAAGTTAACTGTTAAAATTTTTTTATTATATATTTTACATAGTGACAATTCTGTAATGTCAATATTTTGTATCGCACTATGTTTTGTTTCTTTTAAAATATTAAGAGCGAGGTTTTAAAGATTAGCAAGGGACATGATGATATCAGCGAAGCAAGTACAGATAAGTTTTTACAATAAAATTCTTTATACTTAGCTTATTTGTAGTATATTCTTTATGACTAAAAAAAATATTTTTAGATACTAATTTTGGATTTAGCCATCTATTCATTCATGAATTATTTAGTATAAGCCAAGAACCGATCGATCTACTGGCAATCATGAATGATTAGTGAAGAGAAGGGATATACATTTCATAGATTTTTATTTTACTTCGACACTACCAATTTATAAGAAAAAAAAATATTAATATAAAATTATATCTCTCAATTGTAAAGAACCCTCTTATCCAAATACCTCACTTGTAAACTGGCTTCTTATTCACTCTTTACCAAAGCATACCATTCTTCTGAAGTATGCTTATATTTTTTTGTCATTCCCTATCGATATTGAGCTATGAGGATGTGATTCCTTTTTCTTCGAGTTCATGCTAGATAATCTCTTTTTCTATTAATCTTTCTCATACTGTCATTTCCATATTTTCATTTGGGTCTTCTTCGCTCTCTTTTGCATAATCGCACATTTGTGCATCCATTTCCATTTTATAATGAAATGCGATAGAATTGAGCCTGTCTTTTTCTGTGATGGTCATGAACTTATCAGGGTCTTCACTGAGTTTGATTGCCCTTTTTCTGAGGCGCTCTTCGCGCTGGGCCCTGCTTAGAAGTATTGCAGATGATACTTTATTGATAGGCTTAAAAGAATCAGTTTCTTTAAAAGGCATATCAGGCACCACTCCACTTATAAGCTCAATAGGTTCAGGAAGCTTGCTAGTTTCAAGCTGGTCCTTTTAAGACCACTCAACGATTTTTAGCTCAGATAGAGCTTGGGTTAGATTTTTCTGTTTATCTGCTTTCTTATTACTAGGAGAGAGATTCTTTTCTGTCTGAGGCAGAATTATTTTTGGAGGAATAAATTCTGGCACATTGAATATGGGTATGTCTGTAGTCTCATTTTCAGGTAAGTCAGGTTGAGGTGTATCAGAAAATTCTTCGATATCATCTAGGCCAAATTCACAGAGCTTAGTTATAATTTTGGAGTAATTGAGAATATATTGTTATTCTCTTTTCCCACCACTTGCCCTCTTGCATTCGATATTAATCTCTGAGAATTTCTTACCAAGAATGTTGTTAGAAAATAGTTTTTCCCCATTGCCTCCACACCAATCAAAATATTCTTGATATAATATATTGCTACTTAGCTTAGCTACTTTATCTTCAGACCATGGTGCAATATAATCAATTATGAATCAAATAAAATTAGGTAGTTGGTCTCACATGGTTTCTATTTTCATTTTGGTTGAAGGAATCTTACATAGCTTCCATCCAGAAAGATTAAAACTAAGCAGATATGACATAAAAGATCTAGGTGTATCAGAATGCTCAAGAATCCCTCCCAATTGGTCAAAATATGCAAAATTATTTTTGTAGCAAGGAGAGACATTTAAACATATGATACGCCCATCTCTCATTTTTACTCGAATTGGGGCATCATGATTACTTAAAATCATAAATCCAGCAAAATGATTACAATCTTGGGATTCAAGACCTTTGCGCTCAATTGAGACATAGTTTTCTGTAATAAGAGCTTTTAAATGATCATTTGCCTTATGCCATTCACCACTAGCCATTCCTGTTTTGTTCATAATAATAAGTTTTCATGCTTGGATAGGGCTATTAAACCGTCCAAGAATCTTCCCTAGATCAGAAGTTGAGAATACAAGGTCTGGCCCGAATAAACTTTTTCGAATAAAATCAGTGATAATATTCTTTCCACATCATGGTGGGGAGCGTAAAACAAGAATTGTCCCAGGAATTATACTTAGATACTGAACTAAGAATGCAAGCTATTTTAGAACATATTCGGAAAGATTTTTATTTCTATTACACCAGATATTTTTTATATGCCAGACGATGGGTTTTACGAGATCATAATTAATTTGAGATGCTGGTTTGGCCTTGAATTCTAAGAAAAGATTAAAGAATTTGGTTTTTGGTAAATTAACATTTGGAGAGTATGTGAGAAAATTGACATCATCATAATGATTACGCCACTTATGAGAGCATGATTGATCAAAGATGTTAATTTTACTGCCTTACCCCCTAGTTCTATTATATTAATTGTAAAATTTGCAATATCTAGTTTAGGCCCTATGTCAAACATAAGTTCACCATTCAGATTCCTATGTTTAAGAATCCATGTTTTCATTTTCTTCTGAACGCAGGCGATCGTTGCTTGAATTGCCTCATAGACAACCATACGAGAGAATTTTTTACCTGAGGTACACATGCGCAGTAAGTCACCCCATACAAAGTGATCACTAGGATCTGAAATTCTGGATCAGCTTAGTTTTGCAGGACTTGGAAGCTTTTTTTCTCTATCTAAAGCTGTTTCACTAATGGTAAGCTTTAACGAAGGGTTTTTCGTACCAGGCTGTTTTTCTTGGTTTGCATGATAACAGAAAAAGCTATAAGATTTTTTATTTCATATAATATATGCATTATTACTTGTATGTTCCTGATCACATAATGGGCAATATGATGAAGAAATGCATGATAATAGAAATTTATCAGAGAAATTTTCTGACAGAAATGAGAGATTATAGCCTTCAATGTTGGTCTCTTTAAGCAATGTCTCTGCCAACTTGAATTTAGCTTCAGTAGTAATATTACTCATGATAGAGCATTTTCTTCTGCTTATATTTTCTGAAACATCTAAGAGAGGGCTTTCTATGACTTCTGATTCATCATTTGACAGGCGAATCATGAAGTCAAAGATCGTTTCATCTTTTGGATGGATAGCTTTTTTTACACGAATATGTTCTTTTGTTTCTTCTTTATACTTGGATGATCCAAGCATTCGCAAGGAGAAAGATCTTTTATTTGCAATGTTATCAATAATAATTTTCTTCTGTAATCCTACCTGGAGTTTTTTGCGAACAAGTTTAGTGAATACTGTGACCTGAGCAATGTTCTTAAGCCTCATACCAGTAGTTGAGATGTGAAGGGATATTTTTTTGCATTACTACTAGTAGTGACAGTTATACTTTTTTTATTCTACTCCAGATGTATTTCCAGACAAACATCTCTAAAGGCTATTTGAATAGCTTTACAGGCTTCTTTATATGAAACTTTAGGAGTGATAGCATTTAGTGTTTCTATTGGCAAATCAAAATCTATAATAGGACGAAGTGGCTTATCGCTACCAATAAATTCATGCAATGAATGGCCTTCATGGTCTGAGAGTATAGCTTCGATACCATACTCACTGTCTGTGCCTAGAAAATTCCTTGGTCTAACACTATCATCATAAATTTTATATAAGCATGCACCTATATTGGAAGCTCTTAACCCACAATAGTATAGGGTGGGGGCGTCCAAATTTTCTGAAAGCTCGGATTGGATCATGGTAGTATCAGACATTTTTTTGAAGAAATACTAAATCTGTATAAAAAAAGTTTAAAATAAAAATTAATTCCCGACTAAAAAGTAATCGACATCAAATTATAGCATAAAAAGAAACTATCTTAAAAGATGGCATTTTATTATTGTGAATACATTCTTAGAAGCAGAGAAGTTTGTGAACAGGGTAGTTATAGGTCTGAAGGATGCGGTTATCACTGAAAATCCTCCCAACATATACCATGTAAGGAGTGCAGTGAAATTACATCCTCCGCATATGGTATGTGCAAAAAATATGCAGGGAAGTACCGAAATATAGAATACTATTATTGGCAAAAGCTTGCAAAAATTTAGAATAAATTCCACCAGCAAACCATCTCAGAAAACCCGTCCTAGTTTGCTGGGATGAGCTGGGACGGAAACCTGAACAGAAAAATATAGCTAAACGGTGATATTAAGCTGAATTAAAGGAAATTTGAATAGCCGTCCTAGTTGTCCCAGTTGTCCAAGTAAAATGCAAGATTTTTTATTTTTTTTTTTTTACTTTTTTTCCTATAAGCATACTAACATATATCATACATGTAGTAGTATATACCATAAACATATAGCATAGGATGAATTACGAATTTTTTTCTAGAATTCTTATTTTTACTAGAACAACTAGGACAACTAGGACATAGTATAAAAGAACAAGTTAAATCAAAGAAAAAAGCTTTTATTCTATATCAAATTCCGTCCCAGTTCCGTCCTAGTTGTCCTAATAACTAGGACAGAATTTACTACTATACATCGATCATATCCAACATGCATATCCTTGGATCAAAAATGCCTGATCCAGTTCTAGAAACTGGAGGGTTCATGCTTTAGCTAGAGTGAGCATACCAATTCATTAAAAAAATTTGTCTCTATAAAAACTATCGCCTGTACCTTATGAAAAATTTATAGGGATGGCAAAAAAACTTAACAAGAACACCTCAAGACAGAACTTTGAATACAATAACTTGGTACCCAAACTGGCATAAAAGTAATCCAGAACTGGTGAACTAATAAAACTTTTCCAGTTCCCTGCTAGTACTATGATAGTTCTAGATACTATCGGTCCACTACTATGGTGCTGACTTGGATCCTCAAACTATATGTTCTAAAGATCAGCCAAAATTATATTATAGTGTTGACCGAAATTAAATGTAGGTCTACTACACCACCTGATGTGATATTTTTTACCATTTTGATGGATAGCTACAAGATAATAAAAAAGATGCAAAGCAATAAAAACAAATAGTTATA